TAATTTAATACATTCATTTCACATGGAGATCAGAGTACGTTCAGGAGCAATAATGCAGTGCTGGCCCCAGCCTCCCATAGTTTGAGCAGGTTTTAGGAAGTCTACTAAAAGCATGCAGCTTTCAGGCATATTTAGGGAAAAACTACTGAATACTATATGATGTGTTAGTGTTAATAAAGACAGGTCATACTTAGGTAGTGACTAATACTGGAGGCAACGATTTAGGAATCACACTTTTAATAAACTGATTGAAGTTAACTAGGTGACCTATTAAATGTGATAAATGAGTACGGCTCTGAAAGTTTTTGGAAGTATCCAATGCCAGTGTTTCCCATCAAAATGAGTTAAATCACTATAAGCCCACATTCGAGTCCTTTGTTTTTAAAGCCAACTACGATTTAGCCTGAGAATTCCTCAAATGGTCCGCTGAAGGTTATAATAAGTCTTATAAGACATTAGTGCCTGCTATGCACTAAAAGAGTTAAAAGCCTTCCACTAAAAGCCCCATAATTGCATCAATTGCACGGCCCTTCTTTGTGTCTCTATTCATCCCAGCATTGTGTACACCATGTGCTGTTTGTATATTGTCTGGACTTTGTAATTACTGGGTTGATGATGGCGTCTTTACAAAGTGTTTGCGAATGTATTAATCAGACATCAAAAGGAGGCAGACTAAAGCATTATGTTCTATTAAAGACTGTTTCTAATGCATGATTTACATTTGGTTTGGCATGGTACAGGAGACCTCACATCTTCAATCAGGAAATATTCAGGAAAGACATGCAGGCAGCTGGATATTAGTAGGCTAACGGTAGGCTACATCTTTCTCTCTGTCTCTGTCTCTGTCTTTTTCTCTCGTAATCATTCAGAAACATTTTGCGAGTGTAACAAAACTGAAACCAGAAATGATAAATAAATAAATGATCTAACTGATGCTTTTACATCCACTGGTATATCATCAGGCATCTTTTGTCTCCTCTGCAAATAGCCTACCTTTGTTGGATGTTAACTCGTATGTTGAATGACCAAATTGTAAAAACAACAAATTGTAATTTTTACACTTTGGTAAAAAAGAGACAATATACCTAATTTGAGGCAGTTCCGTGAATCCAGTTTCTTCGTTACGGTACTAATTCACATATTCAATACTCTTGTTCTTAATATTGTTCTAGAACTACCATTTTCTGATTCGAAATCACTTTCATTGAATTTGTTATCCAATACTGTTTTCACAGTCCTGCAATTGCTTCCAGTACAGACCTCAAAGGCCAGCAGCTGTCTTCGACCATTATTGGAAGTGTTTAGCTGTCTCAGCTGCATAAAAGTGTGCCCACACATATATAGTGAGGGTAACATGAATATTTGTTTTTATCTAGTACTGTACATCCTAAATTTTAAAATTATTATACAGATTAGTTGCAAGGTTCATAACTGAAGAATTAAAAGAAATCCATTTGTTGCTAATGTGCACTGTATAACAGCATCAGCTGCATATACAAAGTATAGTCCTCAGATAACTCTAAGGCCTAAAATCAGACAAGGTTTTTGTTAAAAGATAAAGAAAGTGCTTCGACGTGCTTATAGAATAAACAGTTGCCAGAGAGGCGTTTGCAATCAATCAAGAAGCCACAGCTGCACATGCCCAAACATGGTCGCATATGAAAAAGTCCCTGACCAGGATACAAATTCCACACAGTTTACAAGACACAACATAGTGTAGTGGTGACCTTTTCTGCTGCTCGTTTAAATGTTTGTGTACAGTTTGGTTGAAAAGGAGTGTGTGTTGTTTTGTGGCCGATAACCATCGACTGGTAAAGTGGAGATTTGTAAGCATCTTATCATCTCTATGCGGAGTTAATAGGCTCCACTGGACGCTCACTCACACTCCTCAGCTCTCCACTCAGTGCTCTGCAGCTCTGCTTTGTTTTAACAAGCAACAGGACACAAGGAGTCAATCATCAACTTTAACGACAGGTAAAAAGTGGAAATTAACAACAACTTCAGCGAGTCGTGAGTCATGATCACTGAAACCTGAATAAAATGTCATGGTGACACAAGGGGCTAAAGTGATCCAAATTCAAAGTTATAGTTTCCTCCTCAACTGTACTCAATGGAAATAGATGCAGCTATGTGCACTCCCTGTTCTGCATCCCATCAGCTGAGATGGTGTACTCGGCCTCCTTTTAAGGAAGTACACAGGCAGTGTTAGTTGTAGTGTCCCGGCTTGGCAAGGCCATGGACAGTCAGCATGGTTTATTCTAGAAAATACCTGCTGCTATACAAAGTGGCAATCCAAGAATAACTTATTTCCATTGTGATTGGAATAATAATGCTGCTGGGAGTCATCGTTGAAGTCAATAAAAGGAAATTGACTATGCCTCTTAGAAGCTGAATAGGAAATGCCGGACATTTAATCAAGAGTCTAAGTCGCTCTAATATTGATGTAAGGAATGTTATTTTTTCTTACATCTTAGTCGGTTGATGGCAGAATGATTGCTGATGAATGACTCCGTCACCTCTACCGGCTCCTCTAACTCGCTCATGTGGAAAACCATTTCCTGTCCTATTTAGAGCGTCCCACCTGTACAACTAGAGAGCAGAAAGCCTCCCTCTCAAATCACAACACTTTCAAGCAACAAAGGCTCATTTGTGCTCAGACTAAAACATTAACGGCTGGATCTCCCCTGTGTTCGCTTCTCATTGCAGACATTGGTGTTTGGATCGAGCTAATCACAAATATGTGAACTCTTCTTGTTTGCATTGTTGATGTGAAGCTGTGTGTTCATCGTTTATAGGAGGCTTGAAGTCAGATCTCTTATGAATAACTTCTACACCTCATGCAATGTGTGCACAAACATTTTATTGTACATACGCAGCTGTTTTCACTCTCATGACGCACAATAATCCTGGTTTCAGTAATCAAGAGGGGGAGAGGATGCTCTCAAAACCCAAACACATTTCCAGTCTCCAAAGAGATGAGTCCCGTGGTCATAAACTCACACACTCCAACCTCATGTGGTTGTAGCCTTTATCTTCAATACCATCTAAGGAATAGGAGTCTGACTTGGCATGTCAGCGACGGCAAACAGCTTTTCCACAGCCAGACGTCTGCTCAATGTATGAGTGACATAAACTAAAGACAAATTATAGTATTCACTGCTGTGTTGGACAAATCCAAGCGCTAACCCTTAAGAAAAGACACAAATGTGGGGAGTTTTAAGCCACCGATTTGCGGAAGCATACACCAACAAAATGCACATGCTTACAATTACTTCAAGGGGAATGAGGAATTTGCCACTTCTCTGTCCTCCCTGTTAGAGCAATGCAGGTCATCCCTTCCTAATACTGTTTCAGGCAATGCCTTTCAATTCCAATCCCCTACAGAAATATGGTATATATACAAACTTACATTTTCATCTTTACAAGAATCCCTTGAGGAGTAAACTGTATGACCCTACGCTGAAATGAATAGTCGTTTAATGACTTTCATTGCAGTAAATCTAATTCAATGACATTTATGTATTGTAGAATATTCGGACAAAAACATTATATCCAAAGTGCATTAAAATGTCTCTAATGGGAGAGTATTTCAGGAATACATGCAATTATGCAACCTCTACAGTAAATAAATTATTGCTTTGATAGCTTTTGTTCAGAGAATAAACAATTTAATGCTATCTTGTCCAGCTGTTGCTCTGCCTGAGGATGTAAAACCCTCCAGGACCCTCTCTAAATGATTTTCTTTAAGTGAGATTCATGAGAGGTAAATGAATACTTCACTTCCAATTTTTCAAATGCAGAGGTCTACTCTGAGACAGATGAATCCAGATATTTTTCACCTAGGCGGAAGACAGGACTGAGGTATCTATATAATGTATAACATTATTTGTGTTAACAAGTAAGTTATAGTCTTTTATAGCATCTCTTCCTAATCTAAACCAGCTGGTTATGTTTAAGTCTTATTATTGAGGGAGACCATTAGTGCCAGTTATTATCTCCTCAACAGTTATCTAATTCTCCACATAAGTCACTCTAAATACATAAAAAATCCATCCCTCTCTAGCTAGACTAACTTGGTTATAAGATAGCATCACACATTGTCATCATCAAACTTACCAGGCCGACAGACCAAAGTCACTGTTCTCTCTGGAAATCAGCAGAGGCAGAGCAACCAGAGGTTTATAAGCACAGCAACCAGCCCCGCCTGCTCAAGCTGCGACTCAGTGATGATCACACAGAGCCGATGTGTATTTAAACTGTAATGGCACTGATTGCTCTAGTTTATACAAAGTATTTTGTAGGTTATATTATAGATACAGTCTTTAAAAGTCTGTCTCAGAAAATAATAAACTTTGTGTCAGGGTGGTTTCTTTTCTACGTGATTTCACTCCACTAAATCACTCTTTGTTATATATAAATATATATTAAATACTTTAATATATATTTTTATCATTTTCAAAACAATTCATTAACAAACTTAAGTCCTCTTAAGCTCGTCCTCTTGCTGAATACAGAGTTGTATTGGTATTGAATAACAGGTGTACTTCAGATGCACGTCTGCAATACAAAATGTGTACATGCAGACACTTTGATCCACGCAGTATAGCGTCTACCAAGATACACAGTATCATTGCTGCCACATAGATGGGAATATAATCATGTTGATCATCATGTCCATTTAAGAGTTTTTCCATCCAATTAGAGGGTTTTCCCCCTGGCTCAGCTCTACTGGTTTGGCCAAATTACAGAAATGGTTGAGAAATGAAGAGCCACTCCTCTGGATCCATCTGTGGTTCCAGTGGGCTAAAGACAACCAGAATCCAAATTGCAGGCATATCTGTACTTCCCAAATTGCATTGTTGTTGGTTTTCTAATTTGCTCCATCACAAAATTTATAACTAACTTTGTGTAAGTGTGACATCTGACACGCCTTCCTGTTGCGAAATGATGAACTATCTGATAAAATGACGCTTAAAACGCAGAAATAAAAAAAACAATCGTTTAGGAAAATTTGAATTCCCTTTTATTTCATCATGCAGACTCTTATACGGTGAGGTGTGAACACCAGGGAAGACATGACATCATATTACATGAAATGACAAATATACCAGTGTTCTCTACTCAATTATCGTCAAATGCATGTTCTCATCTCTTTTCCCCGTTAACCTAACAGACCAGTGCACAGAACAACAGTGGCAAACACAACATACAGTACAATGAAGCAGCCTGTGCCACACACAGTAGTAACATAAGATGAAATAAGATAGTGCTGCTATGAGACAAAATGTGCTCAAGAGCGGCTTGTAACCACTCATGTTATTAACATTACATAAGCAACATCAAATTACACATGTATGATCATTTCTAATGTAAAATGGAAACCAAAATAGTGCTTGGATTATTATTATTATTTTCATATTCATCCACAATAATGGCATTTATCATTCACAGTTGCTTTTAATCAAAAAGGAGATCAATTTAAAACATCATCATAAAAGTGCAAAGCATAAAAAGTTATCAGACCCAAATAGCAATGTTTGTTAGCCACAGTGTTTTAGAGTTAATGTACTGTATAAACCTCACAGAAACACAACTTCAGCTGTCTTACTCTTACTCACTGAGTAGGCCATTTTAAAAGTATGAGTAACACATCAGTGTGGGACAGGATTTCAGTGGTTTTGCATATTTACAGCATTTCTGTGGTTCACAATTATCCCATTCTAGCTATCAGTTTCTATGAGATAAGATTTGTTAACAGAGTGCTGAAAGCTTTTATTCTTAAATTAAATTAAATAAAATGAAATGATCTGATGCTCTACTTAAAATAAGCCTGAGCACTATGTTAACACTGAAGGCACATGAATATCCCTAAAGCTCATCAATGTAACAGAAAAGCATCTTTCAGAAAGGAGTTTTCTTTCTTTCTTTCTTTCTTTCTTTCTTTCTTTCTTTCTTTCTGGAAATGAGCATATTTCAAGATTTCTCAGCTTCAACACATTACTATTAATCTGCTAAGGTAGAGTCAGTGTGTAAATAAATAAATAACCACTGTAGGGTCACCATACAGGCAGGAGAAGGGACAAGTAGCTTAAAAATAACATAAAAAAACAAACGCTTCCTCAATGCTTACACATAATACAACTCAGAACAGTGCTGAAACATTTACAGTACATCTCTAAACTTCCTCCTGGGCCTGTCAGCCCGTTTGACCCGTAACACACACACACACACTGGTCATTCAGGTCAGGCCACTATTACACATACAGCAACTTCACTGTAAGACTTACCCCTACCTTTCCTTTAAATCTTATTAACAACAGTTTGTTGTTGTTACTGTCTGGTGTTACATGATGAGTTATCTGAGAAATAAACGTTTTACGGGCAGTTTAGTGCATTCAAGTTGATGGTTTGGCTTTCCCCTGATCCTCCACCTTTTTAATCGCCGCCTGAATCTTCGCCTGGTCTCCCAGGAGCTGTCGAGGTTTCACAGGCTTGAGGTTTTCATCCAGCTCAAGCAGCACCGGTATCCCTGTGGGTAACGTCACACTGGCAATATCCTGGTCCGATATACCTGTTGAAATAAGGACAGCAATATTAAGATCACACTGGACAAACAAGCCACAACCAGGCTTCACTTTGCTTTAGTACAATATGTTTGAATGCTGTAATGAAGGTTTTAACACCAAATGTATGACAAATAACACAATTCCTGCCTCTGTGCCGCATACTATTATATAACAGCCAACATGTGTTAAGTTACTGAGCGCCCTCCAAAGCTCACGAGTGTGACGAAAGGTCAGAGTGGACTTCATAGCCGCAGCATCATGTAACATAAACTCACTGGCCTTTTTGCACAAGTTCAACTTTCCATTTCTGGAACTGAGAAAAGTCCTTCCCAATTCAACGACTAGAAACAGCAGCCTGTCCAGAAACTGGTTGTTTTAATTCACCTGAATGCACTTCCCCCGCACACCGACACAAAAGCTGAGAGAGCACGGTTTATAATAGCTTGGGTCTGTTCAGTGGCATACCTTCCAGGTGTTTCAGCAGGGCTCTGCAGCTGTTTCCATGAGCAGAGATGAGCACAGTCCTGCCTTTCCTTATCTCTGGCACCACAGTGCTCTCCCAGTATGGCAGCAGCCTGTCCAACACCTCCTTCAGGCTCTCTGCTCGGGGCAGGCTATCTTTCGGCACGTCGCAGGTGGTGTACCTGCGGTCGTTGTAGATTTCAAGGAAGTAAGGGTGGGATTCGTCAATCGGAGGTGGAGTGATGTCGTAGCTCCTTCTCCACAACTTCACCTTTTCCTCTCCGTGTTGAAGGGCCATCTCTGCTCGGTTCAAGCCAATCAGGGAACCGTAGTGGCGCTCGTTCAGTCTCCAAGCCTTGACCACGGGGACCCACTCCTGACCCATGGCCTCCAGCACCAGCCACGCTGTCTGGATGGAGCGGCTGAGTATGGAGGTGAATACTAAGTCGAACTTGTAGCCCTGCTCCTTCAGGAGTCTGCCACAGTCCTGGGCCTCTTTCACCCCATCCTCGCTCAGCTTCTGGTCCACCCAGCTGCAGAAACGGTTCTCTTTGTTCCAGGCCCCCTCCCCATGCCTCAGCAGAAAGAGTTTGTACTTGGACATCCGAGGCACCGGCAGCTGAACCCTGCACACATTCAGCAGAACAAGAAGTTATGCAGTCGGTGATAACACAAGTGTAAATACTGCACCACGTCAAACAGAATACCACTAATATCCAGCTTACAGTGTGGCCTCACTGAGTCATCTGATCTGAGTACAGTAGCAGGTACCTCTCGGAGGCAGCGCCAGCGAAAGGTCAGAGGTTGCCTTAAAAAGTCAGGCTAAAGGCAGACAGCTAACTTACCGCCCTCATTAATGCCCCTTATTATTCAGAGGCTGGACACCGAACAGTGATAGACGACGTTAGCTAACTACTAAGCTATATGCAAGTATGTCGGCGGATGGTGTAAAGCTTTATGAGCAACCCTAAAAGGATGGATGGACGTGTTGCTGTGTAAATGACCGATAGTACAGCGTTTGTATGTCCGCTCAGACCACGGTAAAGACAAGACAAACACACGGAAACAGAACTACAGGCATGTGGCAAGCTCAGCCCAAAATTATCCGAATATTGCGAAAATGTCCTCTTACCCTGCGTGGGTTTTAAATCCGGCTTAAATGCAGCTAGTACAGCCGTAAATGTTGACAGGCCATGTACAGCAGCGTCCCCGCGAACGTTGATGATTGACATTGCGTTCCTCCAATCGGAATGGAGGATATCACATGTGGGCGGGGCCGTTGTCGAATGTTATGCCCATATTAGGAGGAGTTGTAACGGCCAGGCACGTTCGCCGTGGAGGGAGGGAGGAAGGAGGGAGTAACCATGGGGAGTAACCAGGGGGAGTAACCATGGGGAGTAACCATGGGGAGTAACCAGGGTAACATCGGCGAGGTACAGACTGCTAGTAGCTAACTGTTGATGTTTTTGTTGGTGGGCTTTGTGGTTTACAGTCTGGAGAGTGTTTATGGTGTTTGTAAGAGGGGGAACAGCAGTTTAAGACAACTTTGTTCACAGGAAGTGAGAAGGGACAGTGTGTTTTAAGTGTGTGTGTGTGGGAGAACAGTGAGGAGAAAGTACATGTGACTAAATTACACTTATGTTTAACATAATAATAGTTTAGCTAGCTAGTTTGGGGAAAATTCTGCCACATGTTGTCCACTCTAACATAATATAAGCTTACATTAAGCTGCTTCAACACTTTTTGAATGTTTTTTTGTAGCCAGGTTTCAACACTAAATGTGAAGCCGGGTTTAAAGAAAATGCTGCATCATTTCACACACACTTGTCCTTGTTACTTAAAAAAGACTGATTTACATTCACTCCCATGAGATTAAACCCTAACTCAAGTCTCTATCAAAACTTTTTACCCCAAATGTCCTCATAATGTGACCCTAACCCTTAATTTGACATAACATAGGGGTGGGTGACCACACCACACCACACTACACACAGTTTATATGTGTGTATACTGATACATATTCAGGAAAAAACAGGTATACAGATAAATAATATCAGACGCTAACATAATCCATATAAGTGTAGAAATACTGTATGGAAAGCGACTGCGTTCTACTTTAAGACACAGAGGACCATTCTTCTCTGAGCAATGTCATTTCCTTTTTTATTAATTGATACACAAATCATAACATTGCTTCTTCTCATCATAATGTCTAAGTTTAATGCCGAATCCATTTTCCAGGATGCTGTCAACACTAGCTGCCCCAGGAATGTCTATTCATTTTGTTTATCTATCCAACAGCCACAAGACACAATAATACACAGAAATGTTGTTCTACATGTTTTATCTTGTCATCTAAGGCCAAGGCAGGCAAGCAGTGGGAAATGTATAAATTGGACAAATTAAGATTTGTAATTGTAGACAAATAATCTACAATTTCTCTCATTGTTGTCTGTTTATTGTTGTATATTGCAGAGGTCAAAAAAGCAAGTTAGTAACAATATTACAGGCGTCCGGGGACAGCCAATAGTGGTCTGTATTCATGAATTCATATGGATGCTAAAAACTACAAAAGCAATACAGTGCTCTAATATATTAAATACATATGTTTTTCATAATTAATCACCATACATTATGTAAAAAACTACATGTATGAAATGAATTATCATTAAAGAGGTCATATTACACTTGTTTTCAGGTTCATACTTGTATTTGGTTGGTCTACTATAATAGGGTTATATGCTTTTTGCGTTTAAAAAAACACATTAATTTTTCTCATACTGGCTATTCCTGCAGCACCTCTATTCACCCTCTGTCGGAAACAGATTTTGTTTCACACAAAAAACTATAAAACACACTAAAGCACATGTTAAACCCCCTAAAAGCATAATATGTCCTCTTTAAGTTAAACATATTAACTATTGCCATTCACACAAACACTTTAAACATGAACTGTGTGAACTTGTTACTCTGGTCTTCATTTTCACTGTGATTATAGGGTGAATAACAGTCACATGTTTCACTGGTTCCACCTGTTTTAGAGCAGCAAACTCCAGCACAAAGAAATTCACCACACAATCTACTGCCCGGCATCAAACAGCTTCTTCCTGCCCTCCATACCAGACATGGCGTCCACATTCTTACGCCAGTCAGTCACCTCTTCTTTCTGTGGGGTCAAAAGATGATTTTGAATCAGCTACTTTTGACTAAACCGGAGTACTTGTAGCCATTTCAATACAAATAGGCACACTGTCGGTGGATATGCGGATACATGCTTTTTATTGTTAAGAGAAGAATGAAATTCCTGCACTAAACATTACTGCCTCAGCTGCATTCTTACTTCCTCTACAATTTTTGTAACAAAGAAAACCCCTTTCATGTCATGTCTACTTTCTAGTTCCTTTTTAAACATTTTAACAGTTCAGATTTCACATCAGGGTTTCATTTTAGATGTCATGTGAAGCTGCTTTCTGCATATATATGCCAGAAATGTTTATCTTTGGCTTTAGCACTGTTGTTAACACTTTAATTGTTTTATTATTTGTGTGCTGCATTTGAAATATGTACACAGGAAAGCAGCACTGAATACAGTCAATTGAAGTGAAACCACACTAAAGTTATAGCCAGTAAGCCTTACCTTCTCCTCCTCTTTCTTCACAGTCTTGAGGTTGGCCTTGAAGTCCACAGACTCTTTGACCCTAGCGCCCAGCAGAGCTCCCAGCATGGCGTCAGCTGACACTCTCACCCTCCTCAGGTTTGGTCTCTTCATCTTGCCCTTCAACTCAAAGATCTTCTGGGACAGGTCTTGTATCTTTTTCCAGCAGAAATGACAAACCCAATGTCAACATTGCCCTTAAAATGTCCAATTACCAATGAATATTGGTTACATACATACATCCTTTTAAATTTGTAAGCTGCTTAATCTTATGTGAAAAAGGATTGAACTCAGACAGATATTCACAAATATTACTCACCTCCGTATCATTTTTTGTGACTTTAGCGTTAATGTCATACCGTTCTTCATCAACCACATCGATCTTCTGGTGCAGTTCTTTACAAAGATTCTGTGGACAGAAACCTTTAGTGTGTTAGACTCGTTACTGGTCTTAATGGAAACAATGACATGGTAGGTAACAATACATAGCAACAGTGCAACATGTGTATGGACAATGATTTGTTTTTAAAATGCACCATAATATTGTATAAATTCAACGTTTCGAGAAGCAGGCAGATTAATCCAAGGACTCCACTGGTCCCTATTAAAATTGTTGACATTGAGGTCTATATCCTGATTAACTCAAGACATTGTTCTTGGCAAGAGGCATCAGTGTTGAGGTTTTCAGATGTCATTTTCAGTGCTTTGACCGCCACAAACTAAATTACATTCACCTTGATTGTGTTTGGGTGGAAGCAGTCTGATGGTACCTCAAAACCTCTGCAGTTCTGTAGTCTACTATTCGAGACCGAGTCAAGGCTGAGTCCAAAGAGGTTTGAGAATTTGCCACTTAGTTGAGTTTTGGCAGCCAGGAAAATAATTTCAAGTGACATTAACTATCCACCTGGTAACCATGGTTAATAACAGTTCTAGAGGGATTTTGAACTAAACCAATACCCTTTTTCTGAACAAGCACGTTTCATAAATGGGTTTGTTTTGAAGGAGGAAGTTATTTCAGAAAAAACAAACATACAGTATATTGCTGGACATGGTCAAGACCAACTAGAATATTTGGCGAGATCAATGGCCAAGTCTGAGACAAGTCTGAGTGCAAATACCAACGAGTCCGAGACAATAGAAAAACGTCTACAGCATACAGGGAAAGACTGATTTGGGTGAAGTGTTTTTATGTGATTTAATGTTGACTTTCTATAAAGCCAGAACAAAAAAAAGTGAAATATTCAATGATAAATGTACCTGTAGATCCTGCAAAGAGAGGCCAGACGTTTGGAGCGCTGGGACTCTTTCAGCGAGGATTCTCTCTCGTTCATCTTTTCTGAATTGCTTTTCATTGTCCAGCATAGTCATGGCCTTCTTTAGTAGTTTGGTCTGGTGCACATACAGAATTACACCTCAGTCAGACAATGTATGGTTTACAGCACTTAAAAATGTAAACGTTTTTTTTACAGCATTACTATCCAAGACTAACACACAGTTACACATAAAATACCTTCAAGAACAGTCTGCGAGATGCAGAGATCTTTGGCTTTGGTTTCTGGAAAAGAAGACAGTATACATGTCGGATTCCTGACAAAATATTTCACACGTAATAATAATTTCTCAGTGTCAATTTTCTTTACAGGCAGGTTTTGCTGTATTATTTCAGCAAACACAAAAAATGACAACATATACAGTACTGACTACAAACTTGTATTTATTTTTTCTTTGTTTTTTATGATATTCAAGTGTTAAGTCAATCAATTTCATGTCTAGTCAGGGCACTTTTACATATTTATGGATGCAGAAATACAACACATTCTGTCTTAGACAGCAGAATCAACTTACCGAGGGCCTGTGCAGTGAGGAAGGTGGTGTCCATAATTCAAGAAGAGAAAGAGAAAAAGTGCAGTTTGTTACATTTCTGGAATCTCACATGTTAAAATATGAGTTATAGTAAATGAGATTTGGGTTCTTACGCTTCAGACATGGTTGTGGTTCTGTGTGTCTCCCCTTGTCAAATCTATCAAAGTAAAAGAAAGTAGGATGAAATGTATTTGTTATTTTACAGAAGAATACACGTGTATATACGTCAGCTCATTTACTGTGTACAGGAAAATAAATTAAGCTAAAACATGATCACTTCTGACAAAGAAATCTTACATATCATAGGTTGCAGTTCCATAGCAGGGGAGGTCTACAATGTATGACATTGTCTAAAGGTCAAACCTACTGTATGAAAAAATACTCTCTAATACAAAGCAAAAAGTACTTCTACTGTTACTACAAATCACCAGACAAGCAATCCTTAAAGACCAGAAAGGCCAGAATTCACATTGCTTTTTACAGACATTTTTAACAACTTTTAATTTGATAACAAAAAATCTTCAATTTCAGATCATTACATTAAAATTACACTACATTACAATAAATGAGAATAGGTTGCAAAGAAGAACACATAAGTCCACACAGTGATGTGATATTTATAACTTCATCTTCTGTTCAAGCTAGTTGATCTCAAACTCACTCACATGTAAGGAGATTTTTGAATGAGACAGCTTTCATTTGAGTAAAAAATGTTACATTAGGTTGTAAGAATTATAACTTGCATTAACATAAATGCTGTTTTAAAAATCCAGCCATGCTTTTTTAAAATACTATTGAATTTGGAGTAGCATCAGCTCCCTCAACTTTTAACAAGAGTATTGTAATACAAAGCCTTCATTTGATTTTATCCCTTAACGTTCTGTATTTCAAAATAAAGCTCCTTACCTTAAACAGTAGGTGATAAATACTCACAGGCGTCTTTTTCTGAGACGAGAAGGACAGAAAGAGGGTAGATATATAGATTCCAGCGCTCATGTGAGTGGCTCACTAAAATAGCCCCTCTGTCCTCGCCATTCTTGCGCTGCGTCTCTGACATCCCATAAGTATGAGGTGTGAAATTTCTTACTTGGACTGTCCACCTGCGATGCTTCCTTAGTGCCTCTGTCTCCTCGCTAAGGAGGAGAAGGCAAAGCTTGAAGGGGCTTTAGTCCGACATTATGTGTGAGAAATTAAAGTTGATCCCACATGCAATCCAAGACGATTATTATATTACACATTGGAAGAAAACAGTGGCAGGATTGTCATCTTTCAATTGAGAGAACATTGTTGGTTTCATAATTGTATCAAGTACATAATTATGAAGATAACATACTCTCACCACAACCACTTGAACAAAGACAGCAATTATACCATTTCTTTTTTAGCATTATGTCTTTAATAGCCAATACATTTTGAATGTTTGAGAAACTAGATGGCAAGACAGCAGATAACACATTAGGAGTTGTGTCTGAGTATGCTGCGATGGTTTGAAAGAGTTTTGCTGCCATCACAAGTCTGCAAACAGTCACTGCACCACTAATACAAGGCAAAGAAAACACAACCGTTCCTAGAAATACTGATGTTTTGTCTGAAAGTCTAACTTCTGAAAATAGTCCCGAAGTCAGTATTTTAAAAATTGTTTAAAACTTTATATAAACATCAGTTAATTTTTTCTTTATTTCTATAAAATCACTGCTAGCAAGATCATTGTTGTTTGAAGAGTGTTACTATCTGCAGTTCATAAATGGAATAAAGGTAAGACACTAAGTAATGTTGAGAATTTATTATAAGAAGAAACAAAAATGCTTATTTAATTGCCGGATGCGTCAAACAGCTTCTTCCTGCCCTCCATACCAGACATGGCCTCCACGTTCTTACGCCAGTCAGTCACCTCCTCCTCCTGTTGGTAACATAACATGTCATGGACATACAGCCGAGATAAAACAGATAATTTGACCAAAAATAGTTTCAGAGACCCATAAAGCAAAACCCAGCCTTACCTTTTCTTCTTCCTTCTTAACTGTTTTGAGGTTGGCCTTGAAGTCTATGGACTCCTTGTGTTTGGAGCCCAGCAGGACGCTCAGCATGGCTTCAGCGGAGATCTTCACTCTCTTCAGGGTCGGCTTCTTAAACTTACTCTGGAGCTCAATGATCTTCAGATTCATGTCCCCAATCTGGAAATCAGGTGATAGAAAGGACTGTGCTGTTGCTATTCTACCATTGTGGGTCAAATAGACTGTACAGTACACACATACATGAACACAGTGTAGAGGGAAGCTCCAAGATTCATAAAATCTTCCCCACTGGCTCACTTTTTCACATCTATACATTAATTTATTAACACTGGGATTTTATCAATATATCTACTTGTAATTAATGTGGGATTGAGAGCTGAAAGTTCACAGTAATTGGAAACTAATTTAATTAAATAAACAAAAAACCTTGGTTGCTGGACTTGAATTAAGATATTTTTTGTCAAACAAATTGTTTAGATTTTGTAGTGGATAACTGTATACATAACACTGTATTTGTACAAGTAATCAAATTTCTGTAAAGTTATCAGCTTTTTAAGGCAGGGTCAGTACGACGTCAGAGAAACTGCAATATACTACTACAAATTTAATTTAATTAAATTACATTTTTTAAGTAATCCATGATGAAGAAGTGATATCTGTTTTACTGGGAGTGAACCTCATGCTTGCTCAATACCCCATATTTGATATATTGCCAATCATTGTCCAATTTATTATTGTTCTAACCCTGATATAAAATATAAAATGTTACTGTCTGGGGTTTAATTGTATCAGTGTAATTATTTATTGGCTCCAAACAAATTAGCAGTCCATAATTTACTGCAGTGTTGTGTCTTGGTTTAAGTCAGTTGAATAACGACAGGAGGTTGTGTGCTTACAGCCAAATGGCAAATTTCCACTTTCGCCACAGCTTTCTTTCTGAAACACAACTGTGTGCTGAGTTCCAGAATATTCTATATTATTATTATTTAACAAAGTCAAAGAGTGCATCCATGAAGAACAACAGGCTTCATGTTTAAGAGGTCTTGTTATTTTCAGTGCTGCCACTTGGAGGCAGTGTTTGTTCATTTTTAGCTCTATTACGTTGTGACCGTCCTCATAGTAAAAAAAAAAAAACACTGACTGCAGTAACTTTAAAACATTTCAACATGCATCATTTTATCTTCCTATTCATTCTTGAGCTATTCACCTCCTTTTCGTTTTTGGACACCTTGAGGCCGATATCATACCGCTCCTCATCTACTACATCAATCTTGTGGTGCAAGTCTTTGCAAAGATCCTGTAAAAAAACAAAAAAATAAAAGACACCCTCTAGTGGTCATAGAATAAAACACAAACTTGAATAGGAAGAACTGTGAATAGTGAGAGAAGAATGTTTTAAAAACATTATGATGAAATTAAATACCAGCAGCTCTTGCAACGACAAACCAGACAGATTTAGAGGAGGAACTCTCTCTGCGAGAGCAGTTTCTCTTTCCTTTATCTTCTGCTCTGTATCCTCCTGCAGCATCTGAGCAGCTACTGCCAACAGTCTGATCTGAAGCAGAAATCAAAATAAATCGATATAATCAGGGTCTCTGGATTAGACCAAAAGTTCACATACATACCAGAATTTTCAACTAATTCATAAAATATGAAAAATATGACCATGAGTATAAAACATCCTAAAATATTAATACATGTGAATACCACATTTGTAAATTGTATGTATAATGCAGTTCGTAATGCAGATCACAACCACTTCTCACATTACAGAAAACTGTACACACCGCTTCTGTATGCTAGCTAACAACCTTGTTGCATATCTTTCTTTGCTAATATTTACAATATTTTTTTCTGATGTTTTGAGAAATGCACAATGATATGCTTTCTAACATCTTATAGGAAAATCCAATTTATTTTAATAAATGCAGAAAAAAATTCATCTTAAATAAAGAAGAACTCACCTTCAACCCCAGCTTTCGAGAGGAGGAGATCTTTGATTTTTTCTAGAATTTAGACATAAAATATCTTCATTATAGTCTATGCTATATATATATTGTATGACCTTAATAGACAAATAGAGGATTGAAATGAGGACATATAAAATATAGTGTGTGATAGATACTCACAGGTCTTTTGAAGCAATAACAAGGGAGAAAATACATGTCAGAATGTTTACGAAATGGATATCAATACATTATTTTACAGTATACTTGAAAGGTGACAGTGAGTGCTATTAAATGAACCAAAAGAGATTTTACTCACCCATCAGCCATGGTTGTCTTAAATTCCCCCACTAAAACTGGAAAAGTAAAAGAAAATGATAACTGCAGTCTTGTGAATTTTGAACCGTTTTGTGTTTAACACAAGGAATTTCCTTCATCTTTAACACCTAAACTGAGCTGTAGGCTGAAGAATGATGACCTCTTAAACCTCCCAGGTCAAGGTATTTCACCCACTTTAAACATGCATTGGTCCATTAAAGCTAGGTGCACAAATATATTTACTGTTTACTCAGTTGTTCCCCTGGTGCCATTTAAGGTGGATTGGAATATTTTATGTACCAAACAATTCAAAATGATCTTTTATACGTTACATTTTTCTTACTTTATTGTGAAAAGTTACTGCACGTGTAATCAAAGAAGGATATAGACATACTTTTATTTTTTTAATTTTCTTCTCTTTCATGTGCAAATGAAAATTCACAAGAATTAAATGTTATTACAAATTTAAATACATATTGCAACTAAATTAAATAATAGGTTATGTACAGAGTTTGGTTTACTGTTTCATATACAAGCATTTGTACAGGATAAATAATTAAAAATTACTTTAATAGCTTTAAAAGCACTTATGTAATATGCAAAGCCTTAAAGTGCTGAGCCAGTACATGTGTTAACATAACTGACAAGAGTCTCTGCATAGGTGACAGAAAAGGTGAATGGCCAGATAATCCACAGGCATGTAAAATGACAATGTTAAACTTGCTGTTAATTTTAACCAACAATAATCCAGATGAAATAACAAAGTAAAAACAAAACTCTTCTCTGAATTATAGACTTTATTCTACACAAGTCGGTCATTGTTTTAAGCTCATAGCATGCTCCTTAGTCAAAGTTACTCCTCATTCAAAGAATTCAGCTCAACACATCAACATACCACAACAAATTTACACAAGTATCAGGATAGTAACAGCTCTGTACCTTATCGAAACTGAGCAGCTCCTTGCGTCGTACCTCAAAACTGAAGAAAAGTGTGTGTGAGGGAGGCAGCAATGGACTTTCTGAGAGACGATGGAGAATAATCAATCAAATTTATAGTGTCTGTGCCAAATGTGAATGGCTTACTAAAATAGACTCCTGTCTGTACTACTTCTTCCCTCCGTCCACCAATGGTGACATTTACTGTTGCACATAGCATCACCACAATATTCAGACAGGAAAGGGGGTAATAAAACTTCATTTGTGTATCTTGCGTGGTTTTGACACCACCTGTTGGTGCAAGTGACACTGAACATTTTAAGAGCTGACCACTTTAATGCTGGGTCAGTGTCAGACATTTGCATTTGAGCAGGGCCAGCTTGCTGGGAGTGTGGATCAAGTTGTCAAGGAGTCAAACGGAAAGAAGAAATCAGTGCTAGTATTCACTTGTTCTGCGCCTTTATTTATAGAACAAACAGCACGGTCCAAGTGTGAATCTTGGCCATCACAAGATATCCATCTATGGGCACTTAATAGTGTCACCAACTGAGACCGAAGAAGTCACATCAACTTAAAAATGAAAAGTATTCTCATTGCTTAGTTCATGGTAATCATCCTAATTAAAATTTTAAGAAACTGAATAAAGATTAAAAACCTGAGAATTAATGAAGCAACGTATACCTGTTTTCCTTTTAATCAAATATAGCCGCGGTATAGTGTAGTAGCATAGTGTCGCACCCATTTGGAGGTCTGCTCTGATTTATTGCTGCAACTTTAAAAATGATTCACTTTATCTCCTCACATTTAAATGTATTGTCTTACTTTTACCACATCGTCCCAAAAACTTAGAGTAATGTAATGTCGAGTGCGCAACCTCTATCCACCTTACTGTATATACATCACTATTCCTTTGCATGTGCGTGATGACACATACCTTTATAGCCTGATAACATATAACTGGGCCACCTTGGAGGTAGTGCAACAAAGCCAAACATATTCTGGTTTTATTTAGGGGAGGAATGGAACAAGGACAGGTGCTGGTTAGGACTTGATGCTTTGTAAACTGAGACAGCCAGAGTTCAATCTGCGTCATTGTTGTAACAGGGAGTCAAATGTCAGGCCCTTAAAGGATAGATCAGCAGTTAATGAATAAACAATACTAGCAAAGTACAAACCTGGGGTCAGTAGTATTTAAATCACTTCTAGTACTTGATTTAAGGGAGTACTCAAGAGATTTAGTATTGCACTTCCATCACAAGAGACAGATTAGAAATAAGAATGGTCCAAACTGTTTCCTCACTGTTAGTCCCTCACGTGGGTAAGAACACTAGATCCTACATTTCCCATAATGCATCAAACAGCATCTGTTTGTTATGCTGCATTCACACAATATCAGCAGATTGTAGAGAACAACCTCCTGTTAAACCTCCTGTTATTCTGACTTGTGCATTAATGTTCATGCGTGCATTTTCAGTTTGTTCATTGAAATTGGTTTTAAGTATTTGGAGCAGTTTGTTAACCAGTAAAAGCTATTTTTATATTTATATTTTATTTTATATTTATATAACTTATCAGTTATATTAGTATTAATGTTGGATTATATTTAGATGTAACTGCCAGCAATGGTGACTTTGGACCCATTTTGCCAACATTTTCTTTACACCTCTGTAGTTTCACCAAGAAGGAAGGGAAAAATGTCACTGTCAAACATTTTCCAAATCTCTGACTTGAAATTATAACGCTGAGGTTGACAAACAATACAACGTGAACATGGTTATTAGATCTCTGCCTGTTAAACTGCACACCACCAGTTTGTAAGACCCAATGCTGAAGTCATAGTGATATCACTATGACTTCATTAAGGGTTATTTTCTCACACTTGACAAAGGACCTACAAAGCCACAGAAGGTATTATGTAACTGTTTACATAGGCCTAGTTGTACTCGCTTTACCTATTGAACTGACTTTTATGTGCCACTGCCCCCCTTTATACTTCTTCATGTATCTTTGCAGTTGTGCATATACCACTTTAGAAGTGGTATCACTAGAGTACAAAGTGAAAGTAGAGTTTTTCCAATACCAATGGACCAATACCACGTAATTTATTAGCCCCAAAACGGGACCCTGATACACATATTAGACGAAGAAAAGAAGAAAGAAAAATATGTTTAAACAATTAATAAGTAATACAATTGTTGCCAATGAGTTTTCTTGCTCAGTTAATTGACTGAATTGTTTCAGTTCTAATTTTTATTTTTAGCAATCGTAGTAGTGTTGATTGACACTGTGTGCTCTGGTTGCTTTACTGAGGGTTTATTGCAGCCCTGAACTTGCGACCTCTCTTATTTTTGGATGTTCAAAGTTCTTAATGTGAGTGTTACGTCTGCTTTGATTTACAAAGATGATTTAACAACTTTGTTCTCAGCTGTTACTGTTGACAACTGGCTTGCCCTGGCACTGTCGCTACCTTATGGCTGATGTTGTGTCCCAGATAGTGTCAAGAAGCAACTCGGATAACAAAGTAGAGATTTAAAAAGAAAAGTGCAGCATTAGTATTCTGTGTTGATCAGAAGTATTTATTATCATGACATACACCAGTGTTTTTCCAACACAACCAGCACATTTCACTATATACTTATCTGTTATGAAAGTCTAGACAATTTAAATGTTTTCCAAGTGCAAAAAGGCAAAAATCTATACACACACACATATTGATGTACTGTTGTGAGCAGGGGCATTGACTTAATTTTCCTCTCTATTCTTGTCCACTGTAAATCAGCATTTGTATTTAAAATGTCCATTAATATAGTCTACTGTCTACTGTCCGGCATCAAACAGCTTCTTCCTGCCCTCCATACCAGACATGGCCTCCACGTTCTTACGCCAGTCAGTCACCTCTTCTTTCTGTTCATAAGAAGAAAATAATTCTTAGTGATACTGTACTTTCACATAAATAACCCCAAAACAACATAAGCAATACCACAGCATCGAGCCATAATTAAAGGTCCAGCGTGTAGAATTTAGTGGCATCTAGCGGTATAGTTGCTGACTGCAACTCCCTCGCTTCACCCTCCCCTTCCAAGCTTGAAGCAGAAACTACGGTCGCTGCGAAATGTGCTTAAACCGCAAACGGCCTTATCTAGAGCCAGTGTTTGGTTTGTCCCTCCTGGGATATAAACGTCTCATTCTAAGGTAAGAAAAACATAACAATTCCTATTTTTAGGTGATTATGCAAAAAAAACCATAGTAGAACATAGTGAAACATAATAAAAACATACTTATGAATATTATATTCAATTTCTGCCAATACATCCTCGTAAATGTTACACACTGGACATTTAAAACCTAATCTAATCTTAGAGCCAAGGAGTCAACCCTGCTTGACATAATCTTGAAAATGAAAATAAAACCAGGCATAATTCCAATTCAATTTAATTAAAAACAAATCAATCAGATGTTATAGTAACACGTTCACTTACCTTCTCCTCCTCTTTCTTCACTGTCTTGAGGTTGGCCTTGAAGTCCACAGACTCTTTGACCCTAGCGCCCAGCAGAGCTCCCAGCATGGCGTCAGCTGAAATCTTCACCCTCTTGAGAGCAGGTCGCTTCATCTTACCCTTCAGCTCAAAGATCTTCTGGGACAGATTTTCAATCTGCAGGAAACAATTAAACATGTAAGTAAAGTATGCATTTGTGCCAGTTTAAGCAAATCTCAATAGATCACAGTGAAAATAAATTCAAAAATGAATGAAAGCTTCAGCAAGTAAGCTTTCAAAACTTAACTAACAATAAATATAAATGAATAAGACCAATAAACCGATCCATAAAGTAAATACTGAATTAAATCCACATGTAAATCAAATTAATATGAATAAGCCTGTACCTCCTTGTTATTTTTGAGCACTTTGACATCAATGTCGTAGCGCTCTTCATCTACCACATCGATCTTATGGTGCAGTTCTTTACACAGAGCCTGCAGACCAAGAGAGAATCATAATATGATTATTGAACAAAATAATGAGAGCCCACCAGTCTTCTGGCTTGTTGCAAACTCAGAAGTTATAGTCTGTTGATGCAACACATGACACCAGGGAGCCTGGTGTCCGTCATTACTACTGTGTTAATTGTTACACTCATTATTAGTGCATACTTGTTATATTTTTTATAGGTTAAAGATTTGCTCTACATAATAGTGTCAGCTAAATGCTCAAAATATAAAATGTTGACGACAAGGCACCTTGTCCTCTAATACACCTACTGCATATGAACACGCTGTATGCATGGCATCTACATACGTCAGAGGGATGCTTGTGTGTGGAGCATTTGAACCATGTATGACGGTAGCTCATTCAGTGACCTGCACATACCTGAAGGTCCTGCATGGACAAACCAGACAGCTGAAGTAGAGGAAGTCTCTCATTCAGAGTAGCTTCTCTCTCCTGCTTTTTTTCTTCCTTCTCCTTCTCCAACATCACAGCTGCCATTTTCAGCAGCTTAGTCTAAATTTAATGAAAAGTTAGAATTATGAACTTTCCGGGACAGATCATATCTTAAATATTAGTGGGGATCATAATTTTTTTATCAGTTGGAGTAAATACGATAAATACCTTGAGAGCTAGTCTGCGAGATGCAGAGATCTTAGATTTTTTCTACAAAAAAAGCAGTAGACAAAATGAGTCAGCAGTTATACGACAATACGTAAGTTATCTAAATGAGAATTGTTTTTATACCTAACTATCATTAATTATATAAATGACTTACCGGTCTATGGTGGACATTATGACATGGAAAAGGGAAAAGAAATAAGATGAGTGTTAGTATCAATATTATAAGGATCCAAAGAATTACTCTGATTTTACAAATACTGATTTACATAATAAAGAAAATCATAACTTACGCCTCAGACATGGCTGGCTTTTGTCTGTAAAAATGAAATCATTCATACCAAAGTCAGAAAAATGCGTTATTCAGAAACAGTATTAGTAGCAGTACATACATGCAGTAATATAAACACAGCTTCATTTAAGTAGTTATTTAATTACAGTTCATTCAGTTTTCATTCTGTTTATTCACATCTTGTTGACTGAGCCAAGGTAGAGTCATCCTAACCTCAGTATGGTAACATACCAGCATTAAGCCTTTAAATTAGCAACATTTCACACTTGAGTGCTGCGGATTGTTTGAATGATATACATTTTTTAACCCATTTGGAGTCAGTCCATCAAGGCAGCCAGATCAGAATCAAAATCCAATATATCTTTTGCCAAAGAAGAGAAATAAATGTTACAAATGAAGATGTTGATCATTATTGTAATAAAAAACATTTCCTGGTAGCTTTTGTTCAAATTATTGAAGATGATTAGGTTCACTGCTACTGTAATAAAGTCATATTATAATTGTAATACCTTGAGTGAATTTAAACATTAAATTGATCAACTAAATGTTTTTGGTTTTGTCATATATAATATTTGATAACCTGTATCGAATCTAACATTTATAGTAAATTTGCACATTTATCTTTGTCCATCAGCCTGATGAGGCTCCTGTTGGTTGTTAATTGATTCCAGATAAATGCAACACATAACATTTTCTTAAATATCAATACTATCAGCATCAGAAAAATCAACATACCTTTTTTAATCTGTGCAGAAAACCTGTTGTGGTGAGCAGTGTCTGTCTTTAAATGACAAGAAGACAACTTCAAGTCAAATGTAATGCCTCCTATTGCCTTCTGTGAGTGGCCAACTAAAATAGCCTCCTCTGTCCTGACTGGCAATATACTGTATATCACTACACTTCTACATGGCATCCCCCGACACCAGCTTTACAACTATACCCCCATTGCTTGGCATTAGGATTACAGGATTTTAGGACAGCCCTGGCCCCCATTAACTAATCTATCTTAGTCTGTCTTCTTTAGTTGAATAAAATAAAACAAATTAAATTATATGAATAAAAATGTAATCTGGAAATCTGAACAAACCAAAGAAATTCAGAAATATTTTTATGGTTTAATCAGCATCACATATATTACAGATAGTGAGACAACACCATCATCTGTATAATACAAATACTGCACTTTAAAAGACACACTCATGAAGCTAATCAGCCTGTTCTTTAGCACGCTTTCAATATGCAAAGGCTACAATTTATATTATTACAGTCATGGCATACGCTGGTATTTTTTACATAAAAGTTGACATTAAAGCAAGATCAGACAACTATTTATAGTTATACTAATACAGTATAATCTAAAAAAGTGCATGTATTTAATCTTTTACAAATGGCATCATTCTTTACAAAAACCTTTTTATTCAACCCTGCAATGCAAACCTTCTTGAATTTGGACAATGATTCTGAAATGAAGATGAAAAAAGAAACTGAACATTGCCAACATAAGGTGTACTTCAGGAAAGATGATGTGTTCCCGACATATTTGTTACACAAAAGCACCTTCTTAATTAGAATTAAACAGCTTCTTCCTGCCCTCCATACCGGACATGGCCTCCACGTTCTTACGCCAGTCAGTCACCTCTTCCCTCTGCAATGACAGAGATTAGATTGTATTGAAATGTACTTTTTAACACAGTTTCTTATTTTGTGGATGATTTCATCTCAACCACCGACTTTACCTTTTCATCCCCCTTCTTCACTGTCTTAAGGTTGACTTTGAAATCACCCTTCATGAGTTTAGAGGTCTCAGTGTGTGCACCCAGCATGTCGTCTGCAGTTTTCTTCACCCTCTTCAAGCTGGGCCTCTTTACACCCTTCAGCTCGATAATCTTCTGATTCAGTGTCTGGATCTGTACAAACATAACAAAAAAAAATAATCACACAACTACAACATCCTGATAGGTCAGTAAATGTATGAACTTTTATTTGTGACCTACTGATTCAGGTTCACTGTACCTCTATCTCATTTTTGGCTACTTTAATCTCCATATCATAACGTGCTTCATCTACAACATCAATTTTACGATGTAGGTCTTTGCAAAGGTCCTGTAAAGAAAAAGAAAACTGTCAAGATAATGCGAAATAGTAATGACTAAATTGGTATGGTTTACTTTGTCAGTACCTGGAGCTCCTGGACTGACAGACCTGACAGCTTCAGTGGAGGGTAGCACTCACTCACAACTCTTTCCTTCTCGTGTTTCTTGGCTTCACTTTCAGCCACCAGCATAGACGCTGCCTTTTTCAGCAGTTTGGACTGTAAGATAGTATGGTGTTAATAGGCCTGGATAAAAACTAAAGTAACATGTGGCATACTGTTAGATACTGTTCACATGTGGCCTAAAGTTTAAAGACCCACCTTCAAAAGCAGCCGGCGTGTTGCTGAATATTTTGACTTTCTCTGTGAAAGATAAGAACACTTTATACATCAAATACCGTCATTAAATAGGTTTTCAATAGGGATGCACGATAATTATCAGGACAGATAAATTATCGGCCGATAATGTGAAATTTATCTTATTATAAATTATTGGAATAATAAAATTACAGCCAATAAATTATCGGTTAATATGAATAATAATTTATTTTGAATTCTTTTTTTCTTTGTTTGCGTTGTACAATATTGATGTCAGATTTGGTTAGAACAGAGCTCACTACATCTCAACCTTTCTTACTCTCAGGTGTGTAAAAACTACAGGTTATGAACTTAAAAATACCAAAAAAATGATCAGTTATCTTATTGGTATCGGCCGTGAGAAGCAGGTCATTACCAGTTATCGGATCGACTTTAAAAACATCCATATCGTGCATCCCTAGTTTTTAAATGTCAAAGATGCATAATTCTGAATCAGTATTAGTATTATTATTTCATGAGTGTGAAATAAATAATTTTAACTCACCGGTCTTTATCAACATGATAAGAAAAGTGGACAAAAGCAAAGTAATAACAAAATATGTGTTATTATTATTTAATATATACAAATAGTGTGCAGAATTGTGGCTATATTTAGAGGTTACTCACCCCTCAGACATGTCTGCAGCTTATAGTGCCTTTGGACCAGAAACAAAGAATACAATTTCTTACTGCATTGCATGAATTTTTAGATTTACAGACAAGACCTAGTATAAATAATTATTATAAATATTTATCAATGTCTCAATAGTATTTTCTACAGTTAATATGTTAATCCAACTAGTGAACAGTTTTATTTATTATAATACTGTCCAGGGCTTTGAGATACTCTTCCAGTATTCTTCCAGGGCCAGATAATCCTTCCTATTGTTATTAAGGGCTGATGAGGGGCCTGTTGTACAGCTATATTTGGCCACATTGCCGTCGTGCTTTGCTGTGTCCCAGCAGCTGCTGTGGCCTTGATGATGCCAGAGAAAGCCAAGCAGCAGAAAGGTTTGGCAGCCGAGGCACCACACCAAAAAAAATCAATCTTGATTCTTTAGGATCCACAACACTGCTCATTTTCTATTTTACTAGGTTGTTCATTGTTCAATCTCTTTTATCATATTTACTCCCTCGTCTGTTTCTCTCACTTTATCTGACCTTCTCTTTGTAGTCATGACTTTACAATGACATTACTTCCTATTTTTAATTCATTTAAACATGGCATTATGTATTAATAAATAGGTGTTAGAAAAGACTGAAAGCATTTCAATGCTTCTAACATAACACAGTAATATATCCAATTTAAATTAAGCCAGCCTGACAGGGTGCGAAAGTCAAGGTAAACAAGCAAAGTAGCAGACAATTTTAGGAACCCTTCAGCCTTGCCCTCCACCCAGGAGGTTGCCAGTTCATACAAGCAAACCATCATCACTTATCACACCAGCTTTTCGGTCACAACAATGGGTCAAGTGCGCTGTTACTAGTCGCCAATACTTTGGCAGGCAGTTCAAGCCTCAGGTTACATTTCCTCACTTAGAGGATCAAAAGATCATCAAGAAGCTTGAGGCGTTGTAGAAGTCAACCCTGGGGAGCCACGTTTGAGAAGTTGCTTTAAGACCTTGACAAAAGTAGCGACATAGCATGGATTCCCTCACATAAATACCAACTGTGTCAGGGGCATGCTGATATGCAGTCTTTACTACTTCATAAATACTATATTAAAGCCGGACCTGACTTTACCCGGACCAACACATGTAGGCTGGTACTTAGATATACTGTCACAACAGAAGAGGTCTCTTAATCACGCAATGTTAGCTTAAAGAGCCCCCTTGAATGTCTATAATAAATCTGATTGACTTATATTTTCTTGATAAACAGCATAGCTTGATTATTTGATATGAATCTTACCTTGGAGGTGAGAAGAAATCAGCGAGGGCAGCAACAATGGTGAGTCAGTAAAAGAAAAAGCACTTTATGGTTATTATAGTGAAAGATTTATGCATTCAAAGTCTCAGCTGAATGGCTGACTAAAATAGACCCCCTGTCCACCTGACAATTCGTGTATCACAATGCAGCCGTTTTTGATTTGCCCTCAACCCGTGACCCATTTATTTCATGTGATTGCATTGCATAAGAGCACACTTCATACGTCCCTCACCTAACTGACAGCTGAGTTATCCTCTTTGCAGATATCAGGTGCCTTAAGCGTGTTTGCTTTTTAAATTTGTGGCATGGGATCTACTGACAAAGGATGACATCAGTACCTGTTGTTTTAAAGTTGCCTTTTAATGTCAGTTTTAAAAAGTTGATAGTTTGAAGTTTATTAACTTGAGCGTCAAGTTTAAAGTATTTTGATAAAACAGTTTCATTCTCCACAACTAGGAGTCTACAGCCACGTTTATCATGTGAGGCTATACTTGGCCACAGTGGTGCTTCGAGATAAATGCTAAAATTAGCATGCTAACATGCTGTTTAGAAGGTGTAATGTTTACCATATTCACTATGTAAGTTTGCTGTGCTATCATGGTACCATGCTGTTAAGAAGGTGTTCAACATTTAGTACTAAACACAAAGTTCAGATGAGGATGATGGGAATGTTCTTAGTTTTGCAGGTATTTGTTCAAAAACCAATGTACTCGATACATTTAAGTTATAACAACATGATGATGCTAGATGAAAAGTCAGTGTGATTCATCCAGTGGGAACCATGAATGTCAAACACATAATTGCTTGTTGTTATATAGTTGTTGAGATATTTCAGTCTTGACCAGGTGGGTAAACAGACAGACATTGTCATCCCTAGAGACACAATTGGCTCGACTAAAAAACAAAACATAAATAAAGATTTTGTAAACCTATTTTTAGCATTTATAAGCACTATATATACTTAATACACTTCTAAAATTATAACACTATAATGTAGTTGTAAGCAAATACAGAGTTTATGTATTTGTCAGCAGTTATAACTGTAACTGGTGTATACATGGTTCAAAAATGCTTGATACTACTGTACAGCATATATTATTACATACATAAACAAGTTTTTACAGTGTGTTAGAGCATTTAATAATTGTTTAGAACATTTACAAATCATTCACAGATGGTTTAAACCCCGTATAAGACAATTATATTTATATTTTATACATGGTGTGTCAAAAAGTATTATTATATATATAGTAGCTCACCCCATGTAGGCTTATCGCAGCTGCCTTTTCTCTCTCTAAAACATATGTATATATACACACACACATATCTATAAAGTGTCAAAATGCCAGACAAGAGCATTTATCTTAATGTACATATATATACTATACTATATACTATATACATGAGGTAAACTATTTATTTTACTGTGGCTGTTTACAAGTCTTATGGCCTTATGGAGGAGTTATAATTGTAGACAAATCAACAGATAAACACAAAAAATGAATTATGTCTGATAATGTTTTTACATTATGTAAAAACATTTTAGTTGCGTGTCCTCTGCTTATAAATGCTCAATCCTGTTGGTCAACTCCTGAAAATGAAACGTCACATCATGACCGTTGGTAGCTGTGCTGAATAAAGGTGTATTTTTATACTGGGATCAAAGTCACCATGGCTTCTGATTCACAATATGCCGTGACAGCACTCTCACACAGAGGAGAGATCAAATACAGCCTCTACAGTCTATTCTGGTCAGATTTCAGTGGCACATGACTGTCTGTCTCTCTGTCTGTCTGTCCGTCTATCTTAGTGTTATGTGATACAGTTGAGCACAATGTCCAGTAGGAGACACCGTAACACTGAGACAAAGCGACAGGAATTAACACATAGCCACGGCCACATTTTTGTCCTATAGAATATAATCCCTGGGAGCCAAGCAGTGAATAGTTAAAGGTTTAGTGGTATAATGGCATAACCCCGGTCTTCATGTGTTGATCCTCTGGCCTGATACGTTCTGTAGTGTTATCTGTATATTTAGGTGATGTCGCCTGGGGGTTATGTGAGGTCAGGCTGGATGTCAGAAGTTCTTTAAGAGGTACCGTGGTGGCCTCTAAAGGTTTAAAACACGGATTTTCTTGTCATTTTGTTGCATCTCTCTCTCTCTCTCTCTCTCCTGATTTCCTGTCAACATTTTACTATTTGTTGTTTTATAACGCCAAAATTTGTCACGTAAAAGTAATTTAAGCATGTAAATAAATTAGATTTTGTTCAACAACTTACAATGTGAGAAATGTCTAGGACGATATTTAACCTGTTTCCAGCCACCAGCTTGCAGTTTTCAACAGGAAGTTTACTATTTGTAAATTTGGTCACTGCTGCCCCCCAGTGACTGATGATACTCGGACACATACAAACAGCAATAAGGACAGACTAACTTCTGTTTCTTGTGTAATTCTGTAGAAAAACATTTTCAGCCCATGCAATGTTCTGCATGTGAATGGAAACTACCAACCACATTTGATAAGAACATCCTTCCTACGTATTCAGATGCCAGCACCTGATAAGATTATGAAGCAAATCCCATTGGTTGAGATCAGACCACTGTAACCAATTTCTGTGTTTGTTCAAGCAAACTATTGAACCATTTTTCCAAATGCACTTGATTGTTGTTCTTATTTGCTCGATAGTTTGCTGTATTGTGGAGCCAGAATGAGCTACGTTATTTTTTTCTGTTCTTGTTTGACTGCTGGACTCGCAGTGTCATCTTCTCTTAGGATTCTGGACAAGCGTCCAGACTGCAATCAACAGGTGAGGATTTAATATATTGTACAAAATAAATATACAAGCAATATTATAAAAGTAAACTGAGGGGAATTTATAGTCCTATATTCATGAAGTCACTCTTATCTTGTGTTCTTTTTCCAGGGTCTTGACAACTGCAAAATTAGTAAGTATAATAATTTGTATACTTAATTTGTATAATCAGTAGAATAAAGTTCAACCAATATGTATAGGGGTGACTATATTTTGTCAATATCTTTGCATTTGACTGTTTTAATTCCAAACATGACAGAAATTTGGTGTTAGCAACGTGGAGTTATAGCACCGTGGAGTGATTTGTAAAGAAAAACATGCATAAGTACACATAAGTTAGAGGACCAGTGTGTAGGATTTAGGAGCAGCCAGTAGATCTTTCTAAATGTTAAACACTGGACCTTTAAATATATTTACAACATGATAATACTAAATGCTTCATTCCCTAAATGTCAGATAACTGCTCAGACAAACGCACAGTCGCACAACTTGCTCCTAGTGGCCCAGAATGGGATCCTGAGCATGTGGGAGTCTGGATGGACAAACATGGGCTTGTTTCTGTTGTGAATGTGACCTGGAAACTAAAGGCTGATGGTAAGTAATGATTTAAAAACTACGGTGTTGTTCATTGCATACAAGCTGTAAACCAACCGTCTCATCAAAGGTGAATAGAATATTAGAGAAAGCATTTGTATGAAATATACTCTTCTATTCACAGCAGGTATATTCAAACTTCATGGATCAGAGATAAATATTCTGGATGAAAGTACAAACCAAAGCATGTGTGTGCAGTTTTCATACAACTTCAGCCAACAGCAGAATCCAAACAGTAGAAAGGTACGATTGCAACATATTTATATATTTAACTGATTTAACAGTGGCAAGAAACATAGACGTTACAGATTAGTCACCTAGGATTTGTTTTTCTTTATTAGTGGACATTTTCCTTGGATGGAGTTGTGGTAGAGCCAGGGCAAACATATGTGGTGACCATTTTTAATTTGCCAGAACCTGCAAATGGAGACTACAGGCTTAGAAAGCAAATTACCATCCCAGGTGAGTTCCCTCCAGATCCAGATCCCTGAAATCTGCATTAAAAAACCTTTACTATGCTAGACATGTATTATAAGTAATACATATAAGTTTGCTGTACAAGGTTACAGGTTATATTGATTCTGACATTGTGTTTTCATTACCACAGTTAAATAAGCAATGTGAAAAGATTTCTAGCCTCCTTTGTCAGGTAGACAGATCTCCTAGCCTTCTCACAAAGTAATATCAAGTGTGTATAGCCAACAGAAGACGAAAAAGGATCAGTTTAATCTATATTTTATGAATCTTTTCTGTCACATTTGTCACACTTAATCACTTTTTGGATTTGTAAAAAACTGTAAAATATTTGCATCTTCTTTATAATTCAGAGTGATTTAATACACAAAACTAACTTTAAAATGTTTTTTTATATCCACTTCTTGTAATATTCACTTTAATGATCAGGATGTGAGGACAGGAGAATCCAGAAGACCCAAATGTGTCTGCAAAATGGTAAATTTTAATTTGAAGTTTTTGATTGACTGCTACAAGAGATTCAGGACCATCTATGTATTGTATTCTGCATATGTTATATGTTATCTGTTACTTCAGGTAGTCTGTGGGATCCTCACATAACCGCTAATGTGTCTGTGGATAGGGAATATAGAAAGTTATCCATTGTTGTGGGTTTTGAGGCAGCACAATATTCTGAGAAATACCAGGTCTCCATCCAGAGTCAGAATTTCTATTACTCAAAGAACGTCTCAAAGGTAATTATACTGAATTTTTCAATTAAACTCCAGTGCTGTCGCACACATGATATCACAGTGCACTCTCACTTTGTTATTTTCTTGAACAAACAGGAAAATGGAACATCGCTGAGTGTGAAATTTGAGGTTGATTTGTGGCAGCTCCATGAATGTGAAATATTGTTAGTGGTAAGTTCAGGTTTAATTGAATGTCCCATTCTCACAGCTGATAAGGAAATCTTAGTTGTAGATATATAACATCACCTGACTCTGCTTGTTCTAAAGGTTCAGCCATTTTTTATTCAATGCAAGAATGACTGTTGGCGCCCCAAGAAAATAATCAATAAGTGTCTGTGTAAGTAAGATTTTTGAAATATACAGTATATAATAGATTTCCATTTGCCATAAATCAGTGGTTCCCAACCTTTTTGGCTTTGACCCCCTTAAAGAGACAGCATTAATTTACGATTATTCGTTGCAGGTGTCAGACGTCTTTGAGTTTTGACCTTTTAAACTTCTCAGATTGTCTTACTTTATTAAATATTTGAGACCCAAAGAGGTAAACCAATCCCATATTTCACAAAATCAAAGATGACAGAAAATACCAAAATAATTAATGCAAATTTATGCAGCAGGACATTGTTTTCTCCTTAAGACCCTCAGATTTATCTGACCCCCAGGTTGGGAATCATTGGCATAATATTGTATATATTTTATCATTATTTATTCTAATCATATGTATTTTGTATTTGTGCTTATTTGGGTTGCTGTTTCTTTTCTTTCTTTTTTTTAGATTATCCACCACGGACTTTAATTATAAAGGCAACTGTGGGGCTGTTTCTCATTGGTTGTTATCTTATCTATTTACTGTGGAGAGCTTCTCATAAAGGTTTGCCTTCTTGTAAATGTTCTGTATTGAATAGAAAACACAGCTTGAATTGATAATTAATCATTGGACTTCACCCTTCTCTCAGATCCTGTGATCCCATCCTCATCTGCTGCCAAAGAACAACCAGAACGCTTTCAATTGCAAGAGAGAAAAAGAGTCCTCATCATCTATTCCCTCGACCACCCATTATACAAAAACACTGTTCTCAAACTTTGTGCCTTCCTGGCGACCAAATGTGGCACTGAAGTGGTCCTGGATCTGCTGGACTCTACAAGACTGGGAGTGTTGGGAAGCATCCAGTGGTTGGACTGGCACAGAGAACAAATAGAAAGGTCTTCAGGTAAGATATTAGTATTGTGCTCTCGGGGAGTACAAGCCAAATGGAGAGCCATGTGTGGTGACAAACAGGTTTTTCTGAGAGAGGACGCCCGCTCACCCATAGGTGACATGCTCAGTCCAGCCCTCAGCCTCATCGTCCCCCATTTTATCAGATCTGCGTCGTTTGAAAAGTACATAGTGGCTTACTTTGATGATGTTTGTTCTGAAGAGGATATCCCCTCACCTTTCAACATTATGGTCCGATACAAGCTGATGAAACAGTTTGACGAGCTCTTTTTCAGGATCCTGGGCACTGAAAAGCACGGACCCGGCAGAGTGAATCACATTGAAGGGCTTTCAGAAGAGGAGTACTATCACTGTGCCTCAGGTAGGGCCCTGCGGGATGCCATAGAGGCTTTTCATTCGTACCAGCTGGAGCATCCACAGTGGTTTGAAGATGAATTACTGGAAAGCTCAGAGTTGCAGGTTGAGGAGACCTCAGCTGAGATTTATGACAATTCAGAAACAACCACAACCCTCATTACACATTGTGCATCAGCCCACGTCATCAGTCATGTAAAGGCACAATAAAGTGATTTACTTAGGACTATAGACACAACAGGACTTAACATGGCGGAAGAGTTTTAAATCAACCGTCTTATTGTTGAAAACGTGCAGCCAGTTTACTGTACAGTAATCACTGTATGTGATTCATGTTTTGAGACATCTATAAAGATCTTTTCCACTTTTCGAAGAAACTATAAAGTCTTGTTCTGTCTCTGTTTTTACATTTTGGCACATATTTGTTATTGCTTTATATTTATATATATATATATTTCTTTTCTTGTCATTTATTGGTATTAGGTGCACTTTTTACTGATGTGCTGTGCACTTCGCTTTGTATGGCCCTTGGTGGTCAGCTCTGGTTGTTTCAAATGCACTATATAAATAAACTTGATTGGATTGGATTTTATCTGAAAAGCAATCAGTTATTCTGTCTGCATCCAAAATTAGATATGTGGACCCTTTGCACACATTCATCACTTCTTTAATGGTTTATATTTTGTAATTTACCATGTATTTGTGTGTCTTTGTGTGTGTTCTGCAGTGTTTTTGTTGCAGTAATGTTAAATATCACTTGCTTTAACTCAGGAGACAAATCCAGAGTAGTTTTAGACCACAGAGATCTGTGGTTGATGCATGTGGGCTGTGTCAACAGTGTTTGGGTCAAAGTTCAGCCTTCTGGGCAAAGTTTCAAGCCTTTTTGTTGCACTGGAGAAGGTAAGCACTAAACCCTGTTTGAGGGACACTGTTTTTCTTTATTATGAGATGATTGAATGTTATGTTCTTTTTTATATATGAAACATTTTGATTAAATAGTCAATATTTGTACCACAGGTAAATAGAGTATGCATCCGACTGCATAGAGCATGTTTTTTTCTACAAAGTTAATGTAGATAACTCCTTGCAGATGTGTCTCTGATCCACACAGAGTCATTGGTGAGATATTATATATATTCAGCTGTAAAGCATTGACTGAAATGCTTGGCTTTTTGTCTCAGATAAGTTACAGACAGTTTAAAACATTTCAGCTAACAATCTGTGGTGTCTAAATGCAATGAAGTAGGGGAATAAAAGATAAGAGTACCGACCCCAGCTCTGGAATGTGGGTGTCAGTTTCTGAGAGTGGCCCCAAAATGGGGGGGAGGGCAGTGGGAATTTGTCCCAACTAACTGGAGCAAAGAAAATTCTCACAATGGCTGAATTGGACTTCTGCCTTGCAGTGACAGAAAACACACTGCAGGGTGTGATGCAACTGGGGAGCCTGTTAGATTTTTCCTTCAAGAAGCTGAGGTAATGTTCATTGATTTGATTTGATCATTGTGTGTGACATACAGCACTATCTTAAAGATTGGTCTACAGAGAATTTAAGTTAGAGTCGCTGTATATATGTGAATGGTGGAGGGGAGACCATAGTCTTTGACAGATCACTCTGCAAGCATCAGGCTCAAACAATGAAAGAAACATTGAATAGCAAAAGTTGATTGAAACCATCAGAGGACACATTTTTTCACAGTTAAATTACAAAACTCTTCATGTTTTCAGGGTTTCCCTAAAGATCTGAACAGAATGAGGATGCTGCAGACAGCCTCGGCACTCATCCTGAGAAGAGGAATCACAACTCATCAGAGCAGATTGTGCAAAAATGGTAAATGCATCCTCTTCTTATATATCAAACATTTGAAAGTATACATTCATTATAATGATAATAATGATTTGTGATCCATAACCTCTTCTCTCAGACAGCCTCTTCCGAGTTCATCCATCTGTATCACAGGCACTGGCAGAAGACAAACCAGTGGTTGCACTTGAGAGCACAATCATCACACATGGCATGCCCTATCCGCACAACCTGAGGTACCACATTAACTCTCAAGTGTCAATAAACTGTGATACCAGCAGCTCATAATTGTTTTTAATCACTAAGTGCCATTAATATTTTAATGCAGCACGGCAAAGGAGGTGGAGGCCATCGTGAGAGCCGAAGGAGCCACTCCTGCTACGGTTGGAGTGATTGAGGGCGAAGTCCGTGTTGGTCTGTCGTCAAAGGAGCTGGACTTCCTCGCCCGCTGCGAGAACTCCCTAAAAGTGTCCCGTCGTGATCTGCCCTATGTCATCAGCAAAGTAAGACCGCACACACACACACACACACACACACAAATAATCTCAGGGTTTCATCCACTTCTGAGTCCTTTATGGTGGTGTTTTGAACGCTGTCCTGAATGTTATCGATTTCAGGGGCTGTCCGGGGGGACGACAGTGTCAGCCACTATGATAGCAGCACATCGAGCTGGCGTCCCTGTCTTTGTCACAGGAGGCATTGGGGGAGTTCACAGAGATGGAGAGAACAGTAAGCAGACGTTGATGGGAAACACACCTGACTTTTACACATACTGACACTATAGACTGACTGGATGGTTTTGGCCTCCTTTTCACGTGGAGAGTGAACAATCCTGTTATCAGGTTTATCAGCTATTAAATGACTGATCTGGACACAGAGAATACTGTGCTTATGGAGTCACAAATATAATCCAGGGGAGGCCATTTAAAGGTGACCCCACCTTGTGGAAGGCCTCCATATGTGAGGACACCAAAACTCTTGTTGGTGTGATATGTAGAAGAATACGTTAGTATCATGTAAACTATTTTGCGTTTGTAATAGTTATGTGAAGGCTTACCATTAGTCACCATTGAGTCAATGATTATTCCTCCAGGTCTGGACATCAGTGCTGATTTGACAGAGCTCGGCAGGACTCCCATTGCAGTGGTTTCTGCTGGTGTCAAGTCTATTCTGGACATCGGTCGCACTCTCGAGTTTCTTGTAAGAATATTGAGATCATTTTTCAGGGTCATGTGGTGTACAATGGCATATCTGATACTGTGTTTCCCATTTGAGTACTTTAGTTACCCAAACAAATATGTCATATTTTATGTATCATATTGGCTTGTAGTTTGTTTACTACGGATTGTTTTCCTTCCTATTGTTTTTTTAACTGGCGAATCCTAAAAATAAATTTAAAGGACCAGTGTTTAGGATTTAGTAAAGGATTTTTGCAGCAAAGTTGCAGATTACAAACCTAGCACCTCATCCTCCCTTTCCAAACAGAATTTACAAAAAACAAACGCAAAAGGCCCTATCTAGAGCCAGTGTTAGGCTTGTCCCTTCTGGGCTACTGTAGAAACATTGGCATTTCAACATGGCCGTGTAGAAGAGGCCGCTCCCTCAGTAGATAAAAACAGCAGATGAAAACACAATGATTGTAATTTTCAAGAGATTATACACTAACAAAAACATCACTAGGCTAGAATACCCAATTAGAACGGGCCGCGATACCAGCTCATTTCTGACATAGATCCTCCTAAACTGTTCACACTGGACCTTTAACATAGATGTGGTGTTAGAACATAAGTACAGCAAGACTAGCTTTATATCACAAAGACAGATGTTGGACAGAGCGGTGTTGAAAGGGGCCTGTTAGATATATCTCTTGTGTATCTTAGGAGACACAGGGTGTCTGTGTAGCCACTTATGGGACACTGAAGAACTTCCCAGCCTTCTTCTCTCCCCAAAGTGGATTCACTTCCCCGTACCAAGTCTGCAACCCTGAGGAGGCTGCGAAACTCATTGGTATATCAGCATTTTATATCCTCAACGTTAATAGTTTTATTGATTCCTTGAACACACAGAGGTTAAAAATGTGGATCTGTCTTTTGCAGCGAGCACTCTGTCCCTGGGTCTCCAAAGTGGTGTCCTGTTAGCTGTGCCCATCCCAGAGGAGTATGCAGCAGCCGGCCAGCATATAGAGGAAGCCATACAGGCTGCAGTAACAGAAGCAAGGTACAGAAAGTCTCTGTGGTTTGTAATCTTTTGTAAAGCACTTTAGTTGAAAAACAACAACTTTCTGGTCTCTTTTTTTATGTACTCAGTGGTAAAGGTATAACAGGAAGAGATGTGACGCCATTCATTCTTCAAAAGGTCAATGAAATGACTAAAGGAAAGTCCCTTCAGGCCAGTATCCTGCTGAAAGTCTGAATCATTGAGAACTCAAGCAGACGATATCAAATTCATTAAAAACAAAAAAAGGCCTCTATGGTATATTACAGCTAAAATATCCTTAACCTGCTATGTTCTCAGACATTGCTCTCATTCATAACAATGCTAAAGTTGGCAGTCAGATAGCCTGCGCTTTGTCAAGAGAAATAAACGAGAGAAAGTTCAATGGCAAGACTCGTCATCGTGGAAAACACTCAGACTCACAGTCAGATATTGTGAGTATGAACCCACATGATGGACCAAATGTTTCAATTGGCACAATACAGTACTCACTGTGTTTTTCTTTTACAGGTTGTCGTGGGAGGAATAAATGTTGATTTTCTTGCTAAAGGAAAAACGAAATCACTTCTTGTAAGTTTAGTTTATAACACGTATTTATCCCCACTAACTGCAGTTCATAAGATCATACCATGGAGGTTTATCGGCTTCTTGTCTCTTTCAGTTTGGACAGACCAACCCAGGGAGTGTCTGTCAGTCATTTGGTGGTGTAGGTCGGAACATTGCTGGTCGGTTTTTAATCTGATAATGCTCATGCACATGTTTTTGTCAGTAGCTTAAACCTGATGTCTCACACTTAGTACATTTGTTCTTTTCTTCAAGATTCTCTCAGTCGATTAGGCTGTAGTCCCCTGTTCATCTCCGCTACTGGAGCTGATTCACACAGTGATGCAGTGTTAAACTATTGTAAACATATGGTACGTGAACATCACATTTGTTTATTACCAAACACGATTAGAATCTCTTTTACTTAACGGTCCAGTGTGTAACATTTAGGAAGATCTATTGGCAGAAATGGAAAATACTATTAATAGGTATGTTTTCATTAGTGTATAAACACCTGAATACAGTAATCATTGTGTTTTTGTTGCCTTAGAATGAGCTGTTTTTATTTACAGACACCGTGGGTCGCCTTCCATGGGGTCATATTGAAGTGCCGTGTTTCTACAGTAGCCCAAAATGGACAAACCAAACACTGGCTGTAGATAGGATAGATAGTTTAGCAGCCACTGTAGTTTCTCCTACACACAGATCGTTCTCATTCCCAGGTCGTCAAATACAGACGCAAGTGGTGTTCAGTTAGTTCAATCTGCAACTTCACCACTAGATGCTAATAAATCCTACACACTGGTCCTTTAAAAGTGTAAATGTTAAGTTGTTGACCTTGTTTCTGATTTCTGTAAGAACACAAGTGGTGTGGCCAGGCTAGAAGAGCAAAGCACAGCTACTTACTGTGCTGTTATCACTGAGAGTGGAGAACTGAGTCTTGGGTTGGGAGACATGGACATTCATCAGCAAATCACAGAGCAATATGTAAGTTATACTGACAAATTGATTCATTTTTAGCAAGTCTAGCCCAGGATTTGTGTTCCTGTGCCATATTAAGAACCATATTTCATCAAATAAAACCCAAATACAACAATATTTAATAAATGTACAGACTCATATGTTACTTAATGACATAATAATGATGATAATAATGAGAATAATTGTTATTTGCAGCCCGTAGTTTGTTTCATCTTTCCCTGAAATTCTAGTTGTGTTTCATGGTATTGTATTTTATGACGCACCTCTTGTTTTGGAAGGGGCAATAGAAATAAAGTTTACTAACTTAATTTCTTTATTCTTTGAATACGTTTCCTTAGGTGTCACAGTTTGAGAAGCAGCTTTCTTCAGCCACTCTCGTGTGTCTCGATGGAAACATTCCCGTCTCCACCATCAACTATGTTTGTTCCATTGCCTCTAAACACAACATCAACGGTAAACACAGGGAGATGGTCACTAAATGATAATCACAGACGCTTTTGTTGATTTTAACACAATGCAATCAATGTGTGTCACAGTTTGGTATGAGCCCACAGATTCAGAAAAGGCTTGTAAGCCTTTCCTTTCAGACGCCTGGAAGTCTCTGTCTTATTCATCCCCGAACCTGGCAGAGTTGTGCACCATGAACAAAACTCTTGGTATCCCAACACCTGAAGGTAACCTGTATTCCTTAAAGATTATTTAATAATTCACTCCCCAAAACACATATCCCACTCACAGTTGTTACAGTTAGGGTGCAAATGCAAATAGTGTGATGGTAGCTGAGGATGTGGTTTTGCCTTGTGGGCTGGCAGTGCTGCCGAGCTCTCTTGACGAGATGCTGAGTGTTGCTGTGGCTCTCTCACGCCCCCTTCTGGAACATCTTCACTGTCTGGTGGTGACTCTCGGGGCTAATGGACTGTTGGTGTGTGGAGAGCATGACGGAGGCTCGGTCAACCTGCAGCCAAGAAAACAGAAGAGGGTATGGGCAGAATATATTTAAACTAGCGGTGATGAGGATGATGATTATGATGGTGAAAGTAAAAATGTTTACTGTACCTGTGTTTACAGAGGAGGCAGCTCTGTGCTCTTCACTACCCGGCACTGACTGTGACAGCAGAGGAGACAATGAATGTGTCAGGAGCAGGAGATAGGTGCTAAAGATTTATTTGACCTATTTTTTCTTCCCTATTCTCATTTTATTCTCCAAACTTCCTCTGCTTTAGTTTCATTCACTTTTCATTTCCCATGATCTCTTTCTCTGCCTGTCTCTGTCATACTTTCACATACTCACAAAATCATGCCTAACCCATTCAAACCAAACGCTCTTATCCACGTTCTGTTTGCAGCCTCGCAGGGGCCTTAATGTCTGGGATTGTCAAGGGTCGAGACACCGACAGCTGCGTTCGGATGGGGCTCCTGGCTGCACGGCTGTCCCTGGGGTCCCCGCACCCAATCGCCCCCACGCTCACCTTAGACTCTGTGGATCCCAACAAAGTCCAGACTCATTACTGGCCCAAACCCAGCTTCATGTGGATAGATTGAAAATATTTATATTTTCAATTTTGAAACATTAATTAAGAAATAAGGTTTAAAGTTATGATTGGATTCTTGGAACACGAACCTGTGACTGAGTAAATAAATGTCAGATGACACTTTTTACAAAAACCATTAATCTAAAACTGTATTTGATATTTTATATTGTTCTATAACAATTGATATTTTGCGAAAATAAATAAATGGACCACTTTTTCCTAAACTTAGCTTGAGTTCATGATTACAAATCCTTGTAAATAAAATATGAAACAAGGTACTCACTCACTTCTCATAATAAATAAAGGTATATATTTAAAATCAGTGGTGGAGGACTAGTTTCATAGGTAAAATACTCCATTACAAGAAAAAGTCTTGCATTCAAAATACTCACTATGCTGGATTTCAGAACTACTTCATATACAGTACTGTTGTATAGATTAACTTGTAACAATACGACATATTTCATGAGCTGATCCTATGTTTTATATGTAAAGCTTTTAATAAATGTATTGGAGTAAAAAAAAAAAGGTACAATATTTCCCTTTGAAATGTAGAGTTGAAGTATAAAGTAATATAAAATGTGAATACTGAGATCCCCTCCAGACATGTATTAACACACAAAAGTTCCACAATAAAATCCTTAAAAAGGCATCTCCTTCTTCTATCGCAGTATAAATTCTATAAATATAAAAATGTTAATTTCTAAAGTTTTCCTGCTGGATACAAGATGTCCCCTACTTTACTGTAAAGTCAATTTTATTAGTGTATGTGCACTGGTGACTCCAGCTTTAACATCCAAACTACTTGTGATGCCACAAATCAAGCTTGTGGACCCCGTCCCTTAAAATCTGATTTTCAATGAGAACAGAGAAACTTTCCACTCTGCACATAAATCATTCTGTACAGTGGAGCTGTAAAAACATGAAGAAAAACATCTTTTTAAGTGGACGGGGAAAATAAAATAATAAATAAAAGGACATGTACCTCAAAAATGCAGGTCATTGCGGTACATTTTGGTATTTAATTCTAAATACCACCTTTTACCTGTTTGTAGGAAATGGGTCACTGATTCATGCTTAAAATCGCCACACACACAAAAAAAACTCAATTTCCCAGAAAGCATCTGTGCATGTGCGCAGACTCAGTCGCACTGAACACTTGCCCCATTCCCTCCTCCCTACTTTAATGCTAGCTAAGATGGTGGTTAGAGCGTAAATTGTCTCTACAATACCAAGAAAAGAAAGGGGCAAAACATCCTTGTAGCCTTTTAATTACAACAGAACAACACACCTACAGCTATCTTATGTGACTGTTGACAGAAATTTGGACATTTCAGATACATTGGCTCGCAGTCCCCGCCCAATTTGGTGTGACTCCCTTGGAGAGGAATCTAAGCTAAATACGGACAGGGTAAGTACCGCTAACGTTAGCTCCTACTCTCCCTCAATAAATATAAAAACGGGGTGGTTGTATCTGTCACGATTCTAACACACTGGACACAGAAGTACCCTCAAGCTTATTACACCGCTGTCTGCGTACTTGTAGTGTCGTGAGGGCAGTGTGAGTTGTTGATACTGGCACAAACTCTGTCCAGAGCAGCGTTAGCCTGCAGGCCGCGTCCTGAGCTGATACCGACCGACCGACCGTCTGCTGGTGATGTAGCATGTTAGCTGCGCTGAGCCAGAAAACACCGAGCTGTCAGTGAATGTGTCGGCGAAAGCGTTCACCTTATGGCGTTTTTGTGAGCGCTTCGGCGTCAATACGGAGTTGATTTTTAACCCGTGTGTGTTTTGGTCTTTGTGATTGACGAGTTGCTCCGGATACTGGAGCTGTTACTTAGACCGGCTTCTTCCACCAATCCGCGGCTAATGGTAGCTTAGCCCCTATCGTCAGTCAAATAACATCTGTCACAATGTACGATCCACCAGACAGAGCAGATACACGGGACCAGCACGGCTAACTGGGGGTTCTGGCTTTTGTGTGCACGGCTTCACTAATCGGTTGATATGTTGCGAAGTGAAGCAGCAAAAAAAAAAAAAATGGTATTTATTTAGCAGCTGCTGCCAGGCGATTGAAATGTTTTCTGTTGTGTCTGATTTAAGTATCCACTGTCCCTTTCAGCTGTTGGTTTGCCTCTGAGGTGTCTGCTGACAGTAGACGTGTCATTTGTAAAAAAACAGTTGTTTAATTTCCCTGTCACATTCATCGACGCTGAGTTTATTACTGTCAACCCTCCTGAAAGACACCAAAATCCGCATTATACTTTAACATGGTACGAGGTTTCTGCTTCTTTTATAAGAGTCATACATCAAAGATGTGTTTTTTTTTTATATCACACTAGCTATTAATGCAGTAATTCTATAATGTGTGTGTGTTTGTGTTGTATATAAGTCCTTCAAAACCCAAATTTCCTGAGATATAGTTATTTGTAACGTTTTCTGTTCAGTTTTTGTTGAAACAGTTTTTTTTATGATAATTTAAAGGCTTTGCGACCCATCACAATATCCCACAGCCCAAGGTGACTGCTTCAGATTGCTTGTTTTGTGCGACCAACACTCGATATTCAATTTACTATCACAGAGGACTAAAATAACAAAATAATTCACATTTAAGTGGCTGGAAACTGGATCGTTTTTTGACGCTGTAGCTTTTTAAATGTTGTGATGAATCGAAAAATACCTGCCGATTAAATTCTGTCCATCAACAAATGGTTGCATCTCTGTCATGTACCGAGAGGAGTTCCTGTTATTTATTGCACCCTCAATGATACAGACGAAACAATCAGCAACATCTCTGCGTACAGCACAACGCAGTTCGACGCTACCAGAAACTGCAGCTTCCAAAAGGACTGCACAGTTGAATTAACACCTCGAAGAAGTTTGAGCATATTGTCCAGTCGTGTCACGAAGGAGCTCTTATCCTTTGCCTTTGTATGTTTTTGTCTTTTTTTAGCCCAGTGCTCTGTGACCAGCTTCAACACTCGCCCGCCCCGTGCCATAGGATGTCCCACAGCCCTGAAATGAAGGACGACCCCATGGAGTGCCCTCTGTGCATGGAGCCTCTGGAGATCGATGACGTCAACTTCTTCCCCTGCACCTGCGGCTATCAGATCTGCCGCTTCTGTTGGCATCGCATCCGCACAGACGAGAATGGCCTCTGCCCCGCCTGCAGAAAGGTGAGCGGCACAATGAGACGAATACAAGAGAGACAAATTCGTTTACAACTTTCAACAGAGAGGATGTGTTTGGGAAAATGGAGATGAGGATGTTGACGGTCCAAATGCAAACAATAGGGTGGAGATAAGCTTTTGATCCCCCTCCTCAAGTAGCTTGTTAGTTAAAATATCAGTTCAACAACAATTTACAGCCTGAGCTGTTTGGTTAGTGAAGCCTGTTGAACTCTCATATTGACATCTAAAGGCCTCAGTTATTTGTCATTTGCAAAGTCACATAATATATTTTTTTAATGGTGGATATCTCACTTTATAACTAAATTGTTTGTGTGCTTTTGTAGCCGTACCCAGAGGACCCCGCTGTATACAAGCCTCTGTCACAGGAAGAGATCCAAAGGATAAAGAACGAAAAGAAGCAGAAACAGAACGAGAAAAAGCAGAAGGTGACAGAAAACCGCAAGCATCTGGCCAGCGTCAGAGTGGTCCAGAGAAACTTGGTGTTTGTGGTGGGGCTCTCGCAGCGACTCGCCGACCCGGAGGTGAGTACAGCTCAGTGACTTATTGCTACCTGAGTGTCGGTATGTTAGCTTAATGTGAATAATGCTTTAACAAACAGAAGGCGTTAGCTGTTAGATTTATCTTGGGCTTTTCTGATATGAGCAGAAATAGTGAAAGTCATGAATACTTTGATAGGGAACGATTATAATGCCCATTTAAAGGTCGCTCAGTGAAAGGTCTCACCGAAGCCTCGTGTCAAGCTTGTGTTTTATGTTGTCTATGAGAGAGCTGGAACCAACACTTTATATTTATATTTTTTTTCCATTGTGCCCACAGGTCCTAAAACGACCAGAGTATTTTGGGAGGTTTGGGAAAATCCATAAAGTGGTCATCAACAATAGCACATCTTACGCCGGTTCACAGGTAAGAGGTTGGATCAAATTGATGTTCATAAACAATAAAGGTCCAGTGTGTAACATTTAGGAGGATCTACTGGCAGAAGTGGAATATAATATTCATAGGTATGTTTTCATTAGTGTACAATCACCTAAAAATAAGTATCGTTATGTTTTGTAACCTTAGAATGAGCCATTTTTATCTACAAACGCCACAGATCGCCTTCTATGGAGTCTGCCATATTAAACCGCCGTGTTTCTACAGGACAAACAAAACATTGGCTCCAGATTATTGTTTTTGTGCATTTTGCGGTCACCATAGTTTCTTCTTTGCGCTTGGAAGGAGAGGATGAACGGTGGGAGTTGCAATCTGCAACTACACCACTAGATCCAACTAAATCCTACACACTGGATCTTTTAATAGAACTTCATCAATACTATTTTTATAACAGAAGAACTATTTGCCTTTAACAAAGCAAAAAATGTGTAACCTTGGGTTGTTTACAAATACAGAAATACCAAGATTTTACTGTTCAAACATCAATAATAGAAATAATTATTCACTGCATCGCTTTAAAGACACTGTAAATAGAACTAAACAGCTACAGTAGATCTGTTTGACCTCTATGTTTACTTAAAGTTTGTGTTTTTTCAGGGGCCTAGTGCCAGCGCTTATGTCACTTACATCCGCTCTGAAGATGCTCTAAGAGCAATACAGTGTGTGAACAATGTGGTTGTTGATGGCAGAACACTCAAGGTAAGAAGTTGACCACAATAAATTCATCATTTTTACTTTGTGCTGATCTTGTGTGTTTCAGTTTTATTTGCATAAACCATGTTTTTCTCAGTTCTCTTTGTTTGTAAAACATAAACATCCTTACATTAATCAACCTGTAATGTACAATACTAAGATTATACTACAAGTCCTAGAAATAAAATCCCTAAAGCTTTGAATTGTATTTAGAAATGTTCTCATCATTTTGTTAAAGCTTCTCTTTCTGTCTCTCTGTTACAGGCTTCTTTAGGCACAACAAAGTACTGCAGTTACTTCCTTAAAAGTATGCAGTGTCCCAAACCTGATTGTATGTATCTACATGAGCTGGGGGATGAAGCAGCTAGCTTTACTAAAGAGGAGATGCAGGTAAAATAGTTGTTTTT